GACCTGACGTAATACTCGGCTATACACCCATATGAATATATATATAAAACAGATACTCGGTGTTGGGTTTGATTGGTTTGTTTTTTACGGCTTATCAACCCTTTGTGGGTTATTTAAAGCCGAAATACATTATGGATTATAAGAACATTTTTAAATGAATACTACAACAACAATGTTTTTAGAGCAATAATGATTTTTTTCAAATACAAGACCAACTATTTAATCCATAGATAGAGGGAAGAGATGGAATCATACCTTTACGAAAATAAATGTAACGAACCAGACTGAAACTCGGCGTTGGGCCAGCTTTTCTTTTCTTTCGCTGCGCTACGCAGACGTCTCTTTCAGAGATTTGCTCAAGCAGCAAAATTGTATTAGTGAAATTGTTTTAATTAAAGCAGTTTTAAACATTTTGTTAGTCGTTTATTTTATGCTCAGTATGTTATAATAATAAACTTTATATTTGCTAGATTTTCAAACTATAATATGAAGAAAAATATCAACATTACTTACCTTTATATGTTGTTTGCATTCATTTAATCCCTGTGATTAAACTGTGATTTAAATGCTAAGGTGGTTACAATATTCAAAGGAGAATTTGAATAAGTAAGCAATTTAACTTTTTAAAAAACATCAAAACACATTCACTTATTTATTGATATCACAAAAACTCCTAATTTGAAATGAATACCGAAAAACACACTTTATTTTTTTAAAATAATGTTCAAATCTGAATTTATAAATTAAGTAAGAACTACAATGTTGGGGAGGATATTAGACTCATGATAGACAATATAAATGATCATTTTGTTTAGTTTTAGTGTTATTATAAAGTTGTGTTCGATGTACACTAGGTGCTCTATACTTTCGCCCTTGTGCCACATTTAAGCTTAGAAAAGCTTACGCCATTGTAAACCACGGAATCAGTCCGAGTTCTTCACCGAGTGTCGAGAGGCCTTGCGTACTACTCTTGGGGCCAGTGACCTTCCACGGCCCACGCCGATATTGTATCGGAAACAAGTGGCGTCGGCGACCGAGATGCGCTCTTTCTGGTCCCGGGTGCCAGTGGCGAATTATATCAGCAAACCAGTGTTTTCCCTTATCTGGCAATTGAGCTGGAACGGACTGTCTCTCAATGATGTGGCTTTCAGAGCGGGATGGGCGGATATGCCCGATTGTCATCGGTATGGCCTTGGTTTAGAAGAAACGGCTGCGCACGCCTTCGACCACTCTTCTCAGGTGCGCCCGTTTTGGGATTATGTCGGTGAATTGACGGCTTGTATCGACCTCAAGCATCTCATGTCCATCGATCTTGCATACAGATGCGAAAATGTGTCGCCCCCGAGTTCTGGGTTAAAACAGATGGTGTTTCTAACGCTGATAGCCTTTGCAAGGATGGTGATTTAGACGACGCGAATGTGGGGAGGGGGATCTTACGATAAGAACGTTATTCTCATCGGGATCTGGTTGAAGTTTTTGGAAATCAGCTCAGAATCAAAATCAGAACTGATAGCAAAACTTTCTATCTGCGGATCTCATCGAAAGGTGGGTAAAGATCGTGAGCATAGTTCGCGTGAAAGCGGTCATCCTTGATTTCCTTTTTTCAACTCCTTTCGACATAATGCGACTGTTTCCGGAAAAATCCCTTCACCTCGTTAAGCTAGACTCTTTTCGTCTTCCTAGTTAATTCGGGTAACTGATGTTCCCGACCATGTCTTTTAATATTATTTTTTTTAAGCATTACGCCCCGAGCAAGGCATGAAGCCACTAGGATGCCGGGGGTTGCAAAAAATTTGGAGCGAGAGCAGATGGTAGTGATAAAAGAAAGGCTGAGGAGAGGGATAGCGGAATAAATCAAGGTAACTGGAGATGTCGATTGACATTACATTTGAATAGTTGGAGATTATAGATCTCAGGGAAGCAGTAATAGGGAAGGGTGTTCCACAGGCGAGAGGTGCGAGGTATAAAGCTACTGGAGTAGAAGAGACGGCTACATTTAAAAGTTTCTACAGTGAAAGGGTGAGAGCGGGATGCCAGCCTCGTAGGGCGCTTGAATTCATGGAGTCTGGGAACCAGTGAAAGCAGCTCATCGGAGCAATTACCATGAAAGTATTTATAAAAAAGACAGAGAGAGTCGACGGCGCGTCTGTGAGAGAGCAACTGTAGACGAGATGCCAGACCAGGGCCAATTATATTACATATCTGCCTCTGGATCTTGTTAAGAACTGCGAGGTAAACAGAAGGTGCCCCAGACCATATATGGCAGCAATACTCCATGCAAGGACGTATGGTTGATTTGTATATTTGAAGTATCGGTTCCGGGGAGAAAAATTTCCTGGCGCAGCACAGAGAGCAAACTTTCCTCGCGGTGGACGAAGCAATTGACTCAATTTGTATTTGTTTCATCTCAGGTCAGCAGTCAACGAGATAGAGAGTAGTTTAGTTTTTGAGGCGTTAAAGTTGACTAGCCAATTCTTGCCCCAATTAACAACCGATTGGAGGTCCATTTCAAGACGAGCGGCCAGGTTAGTTTTGTCAGCGATACTAGATTTGATTTTGAGGCAGGAGTAAATTGTGTGTGTCGTCCGCGTAGATGCCAACTTGGGAATCTATGGCGTCAGGAAGGACGTTGATGAAAATAAGGAATGGAGTGGGGCCAAGGATGGATCCTTGGGGAACACCTGCGTTCGTGGGATAGGAACTGGAGGAGGATCCGTTGAGAACGACCTTCAATTCACGGTTTGACAGGAATGATTGTATTAGGTTAAACAATCGACCTGTAATACCATAACCCTGGAGCTTGCGAAGAAGGCCGGCATGCCAAAACCTATCAAACCCTTTGGAGATGTCTAGGGCCACGGCAGAAGCCTCACCGTTATTTTGAAGGGCTTAGTAGACTGTTTCAGTGATGGCCGTAAGCACATCAGCTGTAGATCGGGCGTAGCGGAAACCATATTGCTTGTCTGGGAGCAGGTCGTGTGAGGTAAGGTGTTTAACCACTTCGGCGTTAATTAGGGCTTCGAAGACTTTGCCGAAGAGGGGTAGGAGACTGATAGGACGGTAATCAGAGTGGTCAGAGGGGTCTCCAGAGTTCTTAAAGACAGGAACAATGGATGAGGACTTCCAGCAGTCAGGAAAACAGGATTTCTTGAGGCAGTAGTTATATAGTTTAGAGAGAGCGGGCGCTAGCTCAGGCGCGCATTTTTTCAAGACAATGGCTGGTATGCCATCTCCACCACTAGCCTTGTGGGGTTCTAAATTGGAGATAATGCCCAATACCAATGACGCGGTTATGTGTAACTCGCTCAATAGGGCCTCTAAGAGCAAAGTCTGGTATGGGTACACCGGAGGAGTAGAGCGTTGAATTAAATGAGAATTTCCGAGCAAAGCATTCAGCCTTGTCGGTAGAGGAGGTCAGGACCTCAAACTGGTTGAACAAAGGAGGTATGGAGGGTTTTCTATTGTTCAGGACGCTCTTGCAGGGCCGCCAATAATCTTTGGAGCCAAATTTGAGAGATGCAATACGCTCCTTCATCCGAGCAGCAAATATTGATTTAGCTTCGTTGAGGACACGCTTACACATGTTACGGACGGAGGCAAAGAGACGTCTATTGCAGTCCGACATGTCGCTAGGAAATAGGTGAAAGAAGTGGTTCTATGGGCAATGGCGGCTGAGCAAGCAGCGGAGAACCAAGAGGAGGAGTGCGACTTGACCTTAAATTTCCTTGAGAGGATGAATGCGTCGATTCCAGCTTTAACCCAGGATGAAACCTCAGAAGCACATTCTTGGACAGGGAGTGTAAAGACAACATATCAGGGGACATCGCGGAGGAAGTCACGGAACGAGTCCCAATCCGCTCGTTGATAGTAGAACGAGGTTCTAGTGATCGGAGGTTCTTTGCGGAGGGTGGGGTTGAAGGAAATGTTAACAGATACTACAGCATGATCGGGGTTACCAAGAGGGCAGAACTGCGTGGCGCTACAAGATTCGGGGATGGAGGTAAAACACAGATCGAGAAGGGAGGCCTTACCTGCCAGGTTGAGGGCAAAATGCGTGGGGAAGTTAACTATCTGCGTGAGGGGTTGAGAAATTGAAAAATTAAGTGTTTGAATGCCTGTCCGGTCAGTAGTAGCATTCTCGAGCCACTTGGTATGATGGGCGTTAAAGTCACCAAACACGAATATGTGAGCAAACGGGTGGAGAGAGAGGGCCTTGTCTATGCTGTCAGATATGCTATCGAGTATCCCACGGTCTTGAGAGGATGGAGAGCGATAGAGGAAGAAGAGATAGCTTACGGCATTGAGGAGAGATAGACACATGTACGAATGGTCTGGTGATTCGAGAGACAACTGTCTGGCCAGAGGGAGATGGTCCTTGACGTAGACACCAAGGCCGTGCATGTGGGTTAGAGAATCTTTCCTGAGAAGGGGAAGGTAGCCGGGGATCGAGAGATCAGAGGAGGGAATAGACGAGACAAGGTTGGTCTCACACAGAGCCAGTATATCCAGACAGTTTGCAGTGAGGAAAGATTCCATACTGCAGAAATTTGTTCTAATGCCACGGATGTTGGAGAACGAAATGTTGAGGGGTTTAGTTGATTTTTGAGGGGCTGGTTTAGGTTTACTTTTTTGGTTCTTTTGAGTCTTCATGTGGAGTAATTGTTGGAAGATGAGAAAGCCTGAAGTAAGAGAAGCAGATGGTTATCGACCGCGACATGAGCAGAGAGGGGTTGGCACAGCCTGCATTATAATGTAGCCTCAGGGTTGCCCACCGGATGTGATTGCAGGGACACCTTTCCATGCGCGTCATGGCACTACAAACACCCCGGTATTATACAACTGTTGATCAGAGCGGCCTCTCAAGACGCTACGCAAGAGTTAGGGCTCCTAACTACCAGTCGGAAACAGCAACCAGTGAACTGTCAACCGTGTACACTCAAAATGAAGAGGCAATGCTACAGACTACACACGTCACGGGAGAAACACATCAGCACTAGTACAGAGGCCAGAGAGAGAGAGAGAGAGAGGGAGAGAGAGAGAGAGAGAGAGTTCCAGGAGCCCCTTCCTAGACAAGAAACAAGGTGTGAGCCTCTACTCATGTCCAGGAGAAGGAGGAGGTGTGTAGACCGGGCGGTAGGAGGGTCTACCTACTCCTATTACATATAACACATACAACAACGACAAAAAACAAACAGAGGGATAAGGGCTGGGAAGTAGTTGACATAGTGCCCAGGCTGACACTAGGTGTATGTTCAGGGGGATAGGATGGAATTTATTAGTATTTTATCCTTACACAACACTAAGTTTTAACTTAGTATAAGTCCCATTGTTCTGTTCTAAAGAGAGAAATGAAAAAATATGATTATCCACCTTTTTGCGAATATGGCATAAATGCTAGCTCACTTATGGCAGTGGGTGATATTGGTAGTCTGCATGCATTCTGATGGTCACCAGTGAGTGTTCCACGTTAGTACATTTTATCTAGCAAAAGACAAGGCCACTGGACCATAAGAATACTGAAGACATACTAACACCTGGTGAAGAGACATTTTTTCCCTTCTTCTTTCGAAGTGGGGGGTGGATTTCCAACTACACAAACATATAGTGTTATAAGTTAGGTTAGAATGGTTAGAACAAGTATCAATGTTAAATTAGTCGGACAGAGTAGAGGGAGAGAGAACAAAGAAAAATAGATAAATAAATAAAATAAACACATAAATAAATACACGAATACGTTGGAATATATATATATATATATATATATATATATATATATATATATATATATATATGGAGAGAGAGAGATGCTTTTGGATGCGTCTCTGGTAGAACGAAATTATACTCACACATGGCAGAAAGTGATTGTCCGCTTGCATTCTGATGGGCGTCAGTGAGTGATGGTCCCTATCAGGATTTCCAATCTCCCCAGTTTGTTTTTATTTCTTTATCTCCTAATATCTTGACTGGGTCAGCTTTTGATTTCCCTATTTCACAATTTATTTTTCCCTCCTTGCGTAATCTGGTTTTGCCTATCGAACCAATACAGCAGCAACTCTTATTTTCCTGTGGCGTGAACGGGTCCTACTAAAATATTTTTGTTTTAGTTTCAATATTCTGTTTATTTTTTTCGTTATTGGAGTCACATCCTCTTCCCACAATTCATGATACAACAATTTATATATTTTTCTAAAAAAAATGAGAAAAATAATAAAACTAATTTTTTGCATCATTGGATTTTAGAAGATACTCCTGTGTGTATGTAGTATTTTGGTATAGTTAGGATTGGGTAAAGAGGAATTGTGAATGAATAAATTGTAGTGAATGAATCGGTTGCGAATTAGATTAGCTCGGTTTGGGATCGTCATTGGCAACCATCCTCACTCAAATTCTCCTTTGGGTTTGTTTCAAAATTGTATGTAAAGTACAATAAATATACATTTATTGTTCAGTACCAGGGAGCGTTACCTCAATCAATACCCATCCGTCTGAGGCTAATCTCTGTAGTTTAAAAAAGTGGAAGAGCCGAGTGGAGGGAGGTTACTTCTTGATGCTGGCGAGCTAGGAAGGCGATCCCATTTCGCAGCTCATCTGGAAAGTGCCAGTAAACCATAACACCAGTTGACTCAAACCTTGCGAGGGAAATTACGTAGACAGAAATGTTCGAAACTAAGAATGGGAGTTCGTCAAAAAAATAAACTTCATTTTATTTATTAATTTTAAGAGTGAATGCCCATTTAGATACAAAATAACAATGATAAAAAAATTACCCAAAGAGAGCACACAAGAATTCATCCTCTTGTCTACTTTTCTTAAAGAACTCAACAACGCAAAAGAGATATTAATTAACAATGGTTTTCTTAACTACCTCATCGACCACCAGATTAGATTATTTCTTTCCAAAGTAAATAATAACGATACTGAACACAGAAACAAAAAAAATAATAGCATAAATATTTTCTACAAAAGTCAAATGCACATCAACTGTAAGCAAGATGAATCTTCACTTAGAAATATCATAAAGAAATACACTACTCCAGTTGACACGAACAAAAAATTAAGTTATCTAATACAAAAATATAAAACAGCTAACCTTAGCTTAAAAAGTAACAACAAAAGTAAAAATCAAAACTACAAAGAACCAAGATTATTTACGAGTTCAAATGCCTCTTAAGGAACTGTTTTCCTGATCAAACCAAGCTCATAAATAATAACATCAGTCACACTACTACATGCTTATCTAGACGACTTACGTTACATCTCCCCAGCCATAACTCCTACAAGACCCATTTAAACACACGCAAGAAACTACCGAGCTTCATCCAAAACATACTAGTATAGTATATAGAAAATACAAGTAAACAGCCTTATTCATATATAAAAAAGATTAAAAATAATGGAAACCCTAATAATAAAAAAAGAAAAAGCCAATCCTCATAACATTAACTATGAACACAGTGTACTGACCGTATTTGGAAATTAGATATCACTGTAACTCTAGATACATCCATAACACAACTCATACATTCAGTTAAAAGTAAAATAAAATCATCCTTGATAATGACTAAAAGTATATCCGAAAGCGCTCGGAAATGCACACTTTTGTGCTCAGAAAAGAAAAAAAAAAACACTTGTAAGAATACAAAAATGTTGAAATGTCTTAAATAATTGTCAGACTTTGTTCATTTCATAATGTATGATGTCATTTGTTTATATTTGGATACGTATCGACTATATATGAATGAATGAGAGAAAATCACGGAGAACTGTGTTTAAAAACAGTCAAATCGACCTTGCTAACAGAACGTTCCTCTGTGGTCCAATCGGTTAAGGCACGTCAGGCTATATGACGGTTCCGTATAGGACACAGGTTCGATTCCTGTCGGCGGACGCATATTTTCTATGAAAATTTCTCGGACATTCAGGCCGGTAAATAGTGTTATATTATAAACAGAGCATTTACTTAAATATTTGTATCTATAAAAAGAACGTATAAACATAAAAAGTGTCTTAACATATATATATATATATATATATATATATATATATGTGTGTGTGTGTGTGTGTGTGTGTGTGTGTCTGCATGTGGTAAAAGGCCGATAGTATGGAGGCTCCCAGTGACGAACGAACTCACTATTCAGTCGTAATTGTTCTAGCGAAACAAGCTTGTTAACCATTACTCCACAGCGAAGTGTTCCTTGTGTGCATGTATGCATACTGTCATACAATGATATGAAAGTCTAAAAAGTTTTAAAAAGATTGTAAATTCTGCTTACCTGTAAAAGGAGCCGATTCGTCCCATGCTGCCCACATTTGACAAATAAAGAATGGCGACCAGCAAACGAAGTAACATACAACAACCGTTAGGGTGAGGGCCACGGATCGAATCTTAGCCCGGGATAAACCCCGGTTATAATTGACGCCTTGTCCTTGAACGTCGTCTTCAGAGAAACCTCGGTTCAGCTGATTCTGACCCGCCCGCGTTGATATCCTGTTGCTGAGGAATGTCCGATTTCGGAAACGGGTGTTCGATGCGAACCCATTTGTAGTTGGACGACCTCGTTTCCAGACCACGTAGCAAATCATACCGTAGAAAAGGGTAAGAGCCAGTGTAGGTAGGATATAAATAACAACCGTCAACCAAGTAATATAGAACTGCAGGGTCCATTGCGGTTCGAATCTGGCTAGACAGTTATAAATGCCTTTGTCCAAGCGTCGGCCCCAGATGACCACCTGAGGTAGACTAAATAGGAATGAGAAGAACCACGCAATGACCACCATGATGTGAACTCTTTTGTTGCTCCACTTATGACTGGACAACGGATGGCAAATGGCGAAATAGCGGTCCACCGCTGTGGCCAAAAGCACATAACTTGACGCATAAATAGCTACGCTCTGTAAATAGGTGACCATCCGACAGAGTGCATCTCCTCCGAGAAAAACGTGTGTGATATCCCAGACCATCATAGGCAGAGTATTGAAAAAGGCGACAAACAAATCGGCGAGCGCCAGGTGTAATATGAACAGATGCATGCGAGTTAGTTTCTTTCTTTGTTCAAATAACGTCCACAAGACGACACTGTTGCCCAGAACAGTTGTCATGATGATGACCGCTTGGATGATGACTTCAACTTTGGCAAGTTCCTCGTCGTATGCGGGGAAGGATGATTTATTGTAGTTAGGTGATATGATCGAAAAGTTGACACTGAGCGAGTTAGGGGTGACATCATCTTGACCGATACTGGATTCTGGACTACTATCTATGTAACGGATACCGCCAACTGCTGTCATGGTGAAAGCGAATTGTTAGTCCCCGATGATATTTTAGAGATGACTGTTTGCTTTTTAGGCTTTTTTCTCGTATTACTTTTGTTCAGTGACATCAAAGATGGCGCTTCTCTCAATATCTTAAATAAACACACACAATAAATTGGTTTTATTCAGTATAGAATCCAAACACCTTGGACGAAATTAGATTTTTAAATGCGATCTTAGGCTCTTTATAATGCTATTTTTTTATTTTAGAACCTTCGAAAGAAATATATTTGGAAGCATACATTTAAATAATTTAAATATTTTTGAATATCTATCCATCACCTGAACGATTTGCTCCGATGTTATTATATTGTTACCATAACGAAATTAAATACCTTTTTATTTATTTAGTTTTTAATCAATTCACTCCAAGTAAGGAGATGGTGCCACTAAGACGTACGACGTTACTGGAAATGAAAGAGAATGAAAAAAATTTAGAAAGAACCGGAAACACAAAACTAAACCAGAAACAAGGAATATACCTTCACTCTTGCTCAAAAGACCCCCGGGGTAGGGGGTTGTGAACAGAACGAGAGACAGATCTATCTACTCCGGTTATTTTTTATTTGTTAGAGATTTTTTCAGTATTGGATTTCATGGCAAATTTAATTCGAGTGATTATCAAGTGAAGTTTTCCGGAGTGGATTATTCATAAAATCTTTGATTAGAGTTTATGAATTGACTTATTATATCGATGAAACAATGAGACTATGGTGAGAGCGTGAGGAAATGGTAATCGACTCCTTTTTCAAACATTGGTACTGGGTTTAATTTAATTTAACATTTCTTTCGTCTCGAATTTGAAGAAATCAAAGTCTTTTTTTTTCTTGTATATCGAAATTTGAAAATATACCGCAATTCTTTTTCCTGTTCAGAAATAATTTTCTGGGTTATTATTTCACTCTACTGTTTATTTAATTATAAATTAACATAGTCAATTTAGTATAATATTGTTAGACTCGATTAGGCTCTATTATACAATATTATCTGAATTATAAACAAGATCCGTCTTCGCTGTAGCACATGCAATTTATTTTTTTCCCGAATTGTTTCGTCCAAAATTGAATTAATAAATCATTTCCTTGAATATTGAAATGTGAAAATATAACAAAATTCTTTTTTTTTATATTTAGAAATATTTCCATCTGGTTTATTATATAAAACAAGAAGGATTTATTTTGCTCGACAATGTGCATCATTCTCATATATATATATATATATATATATATATATATATATATATATATATATATATATATATATTTGGTTGGATAGATGTGAGTTTGTGACCCTGGGTTTCACGCTTTAGCGATCGTCAGACAAACATACATACTATATATATATATATATATATATATATATATATATATATATATATATATATATATATATATATGGGGTGATAAAATATAGTTTTAAGGTATGTTGTATTTATGGGTAAAAGTGCTCAATATCAGAGATAGATCGTATGTAAATATTAAAGTGGACACTGAGGTCAACATCAAACGGCGATAGTCTGTTTAATGCTTCAGCGCAATCTTCAGGACATATATATTTGTATATGCATATATATATATATTAACAATGACACTCTGGGTATTTTAGAAGGTTAATTTTACGTAATCTTAAAATTATATATTTGTATATTTATGTTATGTTTTTGTAGTGTTGATTTTTTATGATCTCAGTTTCGTTAATGTGTCAGAATTCGATGTGAAATGATTTAATTTCCTTCACAAAAACGTTTCATCATAATAGAAAAAAAAAGAAAAAGAAAATATTATATTTTGAGTAGCAGATTTGTTTTAGTAATATTACAATGCCAACAACAAATACACCTGTTTTGAATCAAATTTGTTGAACACGATCCAACATTACGTGCTAATAAAATTAATTCGTACGTAAAAATGCGTCAGACGAGAAAAAAGAGAAGATATAAGAAATTAAAAGCGTTACGAGTACTAAACTCGAAACCCGTTAAGTGGATCGTAGAATTTTGTTTTCCTAAATGTTGTGAATCTAGACAAAGCGGATACAGTTAACAAGAGAAACGGTCTGGATATTGGGGGGGGGGAAGATAACGACATGGAAATTATCTCAGGAGAATTTGACTATACCTGATTATGAAGTAAACGTGTAGTTGTATTGCTGTTACTAGATTTACTACCACTACTGTAATATAATAATAGACAGACCTAATTAGAAAGGGGAATTCAGGGAGAGTTCAGTAATGAAATATCGTTAGAAGGAAATGATATCTAAAGTGGTTAAGGTGATATCGATTTTATGGCCGTTCAGATATCGATGAAAAATAAATCAAGAAAGTAACACGGCACAATTTCATGAAGATGGAAGCATGAGAAACATGGATTTTTTTTAAGGAACTCAATCTAGCGTTCGATTGTCATGGAAATTTATTACTGAGAAAATGTCCCTGATATGTGGAGATGCAAATATCAGTTCTGCCTTATATTTTTTAGTGCAGATATATTGAAAACAGATAAATGAACTGTTATCAATTTAAGGTTTTTTTTTTTGTTTTTCTTTAAGTAATAAAGGCGTGGGTATTTTATATCCCTTATTAATTTTGGATCGTTTAACCTTGTTTTAGTTACTGAGATATTCAAAAGAGTAATTATAAGATGGACAACTATTTCTACACTGAAGACGTGCATTCATTACTTGTTTGCTAGTATAGTTATCGTTGTAATACTAGCTATATCTTTTGTAGTCATCTAAACTGTTATGATACAAGGTATTGGTGGGGAATTAGAACTGGTATGGATTGCGAAGAAGCAGAAAAAAGAAGCTTTAAATTGGGAAACGAAAGAATAGCCAAGAAAAACTATTAAGTTTATAATTTGAGCACCATTCTGGCAACAATAAATTTGTATCTCTTTAAATATACGTATCAATGTAGTCACTGCGTGGTAGACACATTTAGGAAAGTAAGTCCACTCCGATCCACCAGAAAGGTAAAAAGCATTTAATAATGGTGCTAATGTTTCAGTCTGTGTTTCTCTTTTTCACAAAATGGAGGCTTTATACTGCGTTTCGTATTCACTGAAACGAGCATTGTTTTCTGTATTTTGGGAGTCAAGCCTTCTTGAAATATCGATTGATGATTTAGAATAGATTGGAAACGTTGCCTTTAATTCATGATGCAAATGAAAATAAATAAATAAAAAGGAATTCCAGTCTCATTTGCTGTTTTCTGCAGGTAATTTCATCTGCAAATATTAAATTAAAGTTCACAAATAAAACATTTCGAACTTCTAAAACTGTTGACAGTTATTCTCTTAGTTGCTTAATTCTTATTTACCTCAGCAGTGCTGTCTTTTTAAATATTCAACTCAAAATCGAGACAAAAGCAGCCAATCAGAATTCAGTGGAAGATTTGTATACGTATTCGATCATTTTGAAAAATTGGATTGTTATAGATACTATTTTTGAAGTTGCTTATTTCCACAGAAAGATAGTTTTATTTTAATCCCGCCATCTCTGTGATATATTTGGCAAAGGGATCAGTGTTAATCAATCGACGAATCTTGGTATCGGATGGAAGCGATTGAAAATAGGATGATGTTCTTATGGGAAATACAAAGAAATAATCTCGTATATACTAATTTAAGTGTTTAAATTATAAGGTTTCAAGAAATCAGTTGCAAACTTCGTGTCGATTTGAAACTTATAATGATGACAGGTTTTTTTTTTCTTTATCCGAAGAAGAGTTCAGTGAGTGCAAACCACGGTGTCCATGGCCCAAGCAAACCTACAAAAAAAGAGGAAAAGTTAAAATACTTTTAACAAAATATTTTTGTTAATTTGAATGGATTAATTCAAGGTTTACTGTTTCTTTAAAAGGAAAATTTTGAAGTTTACTCCGATAATTTTGTTTTTCGCATATAATTAAAAAAAATAAAGTTTCAAATAAATTACAGTAAAACCTCTGAAAACCGGACTAAGAAGGCCTTCCGGATATGAGGAATTCGTTACAAAGTCCGGATATGCGGGGTTATATTTAGATTAGAATAAAAGAACTGAATTCAGGTTTAACATTTATTTTCAATGTTTTATAGTAAACAGAATAAGCTAATAGTGAGTGAAATATAACGGAACTGATTTTAAGGAAAAAGAAATAAATTATGTAATGTTAATGAAAATTCATTAAATAAAGTATGCCACGTATGCAAAACAAATAACGTAGTGAGGATTTTTTTTAATTGCTGTTGCATGATGATTCTTTCTCTTCTAATGTCATTCTCAACTTTTTCTGCATTTCGCTTTGCTTTTGTTCTTGAAATTTTTAAACAAAATACACTTTTTAATTCTGTGTGCATTATTACAATCGTCGTAGCTAAATGCTGGCTTTCTTTAGATAAAACTGGCAACCTTTTCAATTTCAGTTCAGGTTTCATCACAATCATGTTTTTTATTTCCTTGATTATTGTGACAGTGTGAACGCTGAAAAATAGTTTCTTTGGAATATTTTATAACATAGAATGTTGACTTTCCTATGCTGAACTCAGCCATTAGTTACAATGAACTTTCACCAGCGTCTAGTCTGTTTAAAATTTCCATCTTTTTGCGATAACTCCAAAATTGTTCTTTTCCTCTTATTCCCATCTTCTTTTGCATCAATACAAGCCATTAGGGTGAAATAAGCAGAAGCAATTATCCAAAGTAAGTTTCCTGAAAACAGAAATTTCAAATTAGTTACATATCATCCAAATAGTTGAAATATACGCATTAAAATCATGTCCGGATATGCGGGATTCCGGATATGAGGCACTCCGGATATGAGGGATTCCGGATATGAGGCACTCCGGATATGAGGGATTCCGGATATGTATATTCATTTCTATGAATTGATAAGGATTATCAAATCACTGGTACCTACTTTAAAATGCGGTATTACCAATAAAAATACAAATTTAGTATTAAGGATAAGTTTAAAACCACGGGAAAATTGCCTA